TCTAAAATAAGAAATGCCGATTTAGTAGTTTTTTTTTAAGGGCAATTATTTTAAAGGTACCTTTCAAGAGTTCGTCGGGCTCTAGGTGAACATTGACCGCAAGAAAGTTTTCCGGTGATATGTGTTCACCTTTCATGCGTCCGTCCGTTTCTTCTTCTTTTTGCTCTTCCGTAGTAATTTGGAATAATCCAAAAAGAAATCTGACTTCTGATCCCACAGTTGTATTTCCTTCACAGTTTGATGCATCCGAAGCTGGACAGAAGGACTCATCGATAGCACTTTTGTGAACGGTGCTGCTTGCTGGCGAGGTTAACTTGTAGCATGGTTCCGGATTACTTGTCTCCTTGCTTAGTTCCGGGTATGCTGATGGTAGCATGAGCGTTTTCACCCAATCAATGTCGGTATCGTTAGTCAACACTGCTGGCTTCCCTAGGAGGTGAATTTAAGAGATTTTTTTTCAATTGTTTCAAAATATTTTACTTTGTTTCGAACAAATTCTGCCAGATTTATCTCGGAGCGAAGGACTTGCCTCTTCCCATTTTGTCAATCGCAATCTCGCTAAATTTTGCAGGCATTCGACTTTGAGGCGATGCGGTTCCGGACGGCGATAAAAACTCACTGTTTTTTCTTTGCCCTGGACATATTTTGAAGAGCATTTCGGCACAATACACCAAAATTTCACTGTCGACATTTTTACGCCCAAAAAAATTATGCTTGATGAACTAATAAACATAAAAAATCTTCAACCGACCAGCAAGCGAAAAACCAAAAGGTAACCGCTTCCTGTCAATTAACGTAAACATAGTGCAACAGCTGATCCGAAACGTCTCATAAAATGGTCTATTGGTTCGAGCCAAGGTGACTACATATAGGTGTTCTAATGTGTCAAATTCATGATTCAGCATGTTGGATTTTTGTATGGGACAGCGACCGAGTTTGTTTATAGTTTGCTCTAAAACCGCACTTTAAGTATCGTTGTCTTCGTATCGCGTTAGGATGCATGCACTCGACTCATACGATGAGTCTCGAAGTGTTGGTGGGCATGTTGCCACTATCGGATCGGTTTTCGGAATTGTCCCTCAGGCTCCTCACCCGTTGTGAAGTTATGAACCCACTGGTAATCGAAAACTTTGAGAAGCTTCTTGAGCTAAACCCTCAAACTCGTTTTATGTCATTGTACTACGTGTACATAACTCAGGATGTCAGCCCTTCACAGCATAATCCCCATCGTGTATGCTTCTCCGACTTCGGCAATTCAGTTAGTTTTGATTTATCTATGACGCGGGAGATTCATGAAATCCCAGAACATCATCGTTCCATGATTGTTCCGTCAATTTACGCTGCAAAGTTTGGCCAAGTTGATTCCGCAAGATCGTTCTTCACAGATGGATCACTAATAGAGTCGTCCGCTGGTTTTGGTATTTATAACGAATTTCATAGCGTCTCCCGAATGCTTCATGCTCCTTGTTCCGTATATGTTACTGAACTGGCGGCAATACACTATACGCTAGAATCGATCGCCTCACTTGCACCAGATCACTATTTTATTTTTACGGATAGTCTCAGTTCTGTCGAGGCTATTCGCTCCATGAGCCCGGTAAAGCACTCCTCGTATTTTGCAATGAGAAGGCGGACTCACTTGCTAAGGTGGGCGCTATGCAAGGCGATATTTACGATCGACAAATCGCCTACAATGAATTTTTCTTCATTTATCGTCAACAGGCGCTCGCCAGCTGGCAAAATAAATGGAGTGAAGGGAGTTTGGGACGATGGCTATTCTCGATCATCCCTAAGGTGTCGAATAGTCCTTGGTTCAAGGGGTTGGATGTGGGTCGAGACTTCATTCGTCTGATGTCTCGCCTCATGTCCAATCACTATTCGTTAAACGCTCACTTGTTCCGTGTTGGGCTGGGAGACAGCAATCTCTGTGAATGTGGACAAGGTTACCAAGACGCCGATCACATCCTTTGGTCTTGTGCGGAGTATCGTGGAGTCAGATCACATTTTTATGATTCCCTTCGGGCTCGAGGTAGACAACCTAATGTTCCAGTTCGGGATATTTTGGCTAGACGTGTTCTGGAGTTTATGAAACTCATATATGTTTACTTTAAGAATACTAACCTTAGATTGTAAGTTTGATTAACCTTGTGTTTAGTTTGTGTATTGTGCGTGTAGTTTTTTTTTTAATGTTTGTTTTCAAGATGAATAGAAATAAGTTCATGTTTTAGGATTAATTAAATATTTGTATAATAAATCATACTTCAAACCTCCTTCTCCCTTTCCCCATCCAAAAAATTGTAAATCTCCACTAACCTCGAGACGACCGCGAGTAATCGGTTCAATTCCTTTAACTCTAGATTTAAGACATTAATCATGTATAATGCAAATGATAACTCGGCTCTGTAAAGTTTATTCGATTGAGCCTGTACAAAAAAAATAATATAAAAAAAATAAAACCGCACTTTTCCCCTCCGCGACCTCCTCGCCTATATAGTGACAAAGCTGTATCACCATTTATATACCCACCATGGTTCGAGCTGCTGTGAAAGCAACCAACGTAAGTTTCGGTGAAAACGGTGGAGATTTTCGATGCTGCCAATGAAAGATCCAGTGGATTTTTCTTACGTTCTCAAAACGGTTCTCAACGTAGGAGTTTCCAGTCGATTCCTGTGGAGCTTTCGAATGCTGCTGACGAAAGATCCAGTGCATTCCGGTGGAAGTTTCAGACGCGTGTTTTCATCCAACGCTGCAGTTCAACGTTGTCTTGTCACAAACCGTTTGGCGCCGTTATCTGTCTATAGTTTCCAAAGAGTGATTTTTCTGAATTCTTGACGGAGCAGGTTCTAGTCGATTCTGGTGTAGATTTTGATGGGATTTAGCAATGGATTGTCCCTCACTATATTGCATCGGTTTACCGCTCCCGGAGGATAGAGTCGGTGTATAATGAGTCACGCCAAGAGTGAAGCCAAGTCTACCTAATTAACTGTCAAACCGGCTACCTATCGTGCAAAGTAAACAAACATTACGATGCTATGAAAGCTTCACGAAAGGTATTGCAATAAAATATATAATATAATCGAAGAAATGATCATAAACACGCAGTGAGCATTAAATTGTCATGGGATACGTTTGGTAATGATCAGTAATGAGAATTTCTACTAGTTTTTGTTAAGATAAATTTAATTTGACAAAATCACTGATATAATGATTTACTACAGCCGCTATTTTTTTTTACTCGCTAGAAGTCATTTGAAGTTGATGTAAAAATCCTCTGTTGCCAAGTGAAAATAAAGGGAATCTTTCGAAAACTGTGATGCGAGTTCAACTGTTTTTCTCTTGGCCTGACTCATTATACACCGACTCTACCTGTAGGTAAGCTTCACCATAAGGGTAGCTGTCAGACATCCACAAGCGAGACGGCGCAAAAATAGAGAGAAAGGGAGGTAACATATTTATTCCCAATTCAGTCTCTTTAATCATAACCTAAGACCTCTTAGATCATAACCATCTATGTCAAACCGAACCAAGACGTGAATACAAGTGCTTTGTATTCGTAAAAGTATCCGTGTTTATTTATTTACCCTTCCGAAGTTCCCTACGCGGATTTTCCACTGTTGCCCTCAGATTTTCAATGCTGCCTACGGAAGTTCTAGTGGATTTTTCTGAATTTTCGACGGAACAGTTCCATCGAGAATTGAGAAAAATCCACAGGAACTTTCGTAGCCAATATCGGAAATCTTCACCGAAATCGTCCGGAATCTGCTCCGTCGGGAACGCCAGCAATCTCCTAATCAAAACAAACATTGCGTAGTACTAGAATTTCAACTAGAATGGGGTACGTTAATCGTTTGCTTGGGACCAATAGGCTAGTCAAGTAGTGAGTCAATTTAAAATCGTTAGTTTCGTAGGTTCTTGTTAGTGATCTGTTTGTTGTCCAAGGTGAACTTGCACTTCCACACGCAACAGTTCACAGGCATGATGATTCTTCGTGTTAACCGCTTAAACAACTGTAAGCCTTGTGAAACAATGATACATGGTCCTGCTCAACACTATGTCTGTCAAATCTGATGAGTGACGTCACAGTGATTTGGCTGCTGTACTAACAAAAAGTTAAATGTGTTGTTGTTCAGGTGATTCAAAATGGCACAATTTGAGCTAAAATTGTGAATGATGTTATGGGCAACAAACAATTATGTAAAATCTCGTGTAAATCGGTCGAGTCAAAACTCATTTCTTTTCGCTATTTGGCCTGGAACTGCTCATATGTGCCATTTTATCTCTCATTTTCCATCGCTCCATTGCCATGGAACCGGGACAAAGAAGGTACACACGGACATGGATGGGTGCAAATGAAAAGCGAACGGCCAAGGGGAGGGGGTGGGACGATTGAAAATCATCGGTCAAGCCAACAGAGGCCAACAAGCATAAACCGTTCAGTCCCGTCCGTCCGTCCGTTCGTTCGTCGTCGTAGTCGTAGTCGTTAATTTGGTGTCCACTTAGGCATGCAAATTTTATCCACCCGGAGCGACCGGTGGCACTGTGAAAATTTACTTCCATTTCAGTTCAGTTGACCCCTCAGAGGTAGTGTTTCAAAGCGAACGTTTTACACAGTGTCACACATTCAACTGACCGAGAACTTATCCGTTCGGACAATTCCGGAACACATAAAGCATGGCCCGCTCCGGGCCTTCTCCCGTTTTCCATTCCGATTTGCTTGCTAGCTTTAGCATTGATTTCCCAACTCACAGCAAATGGACAATGGATAATTTTGCCACTGCGCTGGGAGTCGTGTATAATTTTCTAAACTCGGTAAATATATGCCGAATTCGAGTGGTTTGTGTGCATGCATGGGTGTTTCGAAATTGGATTTGCTGCATATTTCGATCAAAGATTACCATCATAATCAATAATTCGCACTTTTCCATTATTATTTTATTTCTATTCACCAATCAGATCACCTCTCTAATGTCATCGAAATGTCTCTTCCCTTCCAATTTCAGTGCCCAAATCGGACAAGCTGAACGGCTGCATCCCGTCGACGGTCTCGCTGGTAACGGGATCCGCCTCTCCGAGCAGCAGCAGTAACAGCAGCGTCAGTAGCAACAGCAGCAGTAGTAGTAATAGCAGTAGTAATGGCAGCAGTAGTTCCCCAAAATCCACCTCAGCCGCTGTCAGCAACAACATCAGCAGCAACAACAACAGTACAACCAGTGGTGGTGGCCCCGTTGGACACAGCACCCGAAGTGATAGCACCAGCAGCTGCAGCAGCAATAGCAGCAGTGGCAGCAGTAGTAGTGGCAGTGCCTCGTCTACGACCGCCATCACGATCAACGGGCTGCCGACGGTGGTGAAAAAGCCACGGCCCAAAACCGCCTCGCCGACGCGCCACGGTCCCCAGCAGTGTCAGGTAGGTGACATTTCCATCCATTTCTTATATCGATGAAAAGTCCGATTGATGTGGTTCGAAGCAGAAGTGCGGTAATTAGTTAGTGGAGGAGGGATTGATAAAAGGATCCCACGACTTTCTAATTGATGAAGGTCTTGGCTTGGGAAGGCGTCGTTGAAGCGTAATGAGACGATTGGCTTCCTGCTTCAAAGGACCACCGGCCGCCTGTTAGCCAGCCGACCGACTGAAAACCGAAAAATATAAGCAGCACTCCTTTGATGTTTGTCAATTAAATTATAAATGAGCTAAATTGGGGGCGAAAATTTCAAGCTTTCTGGCTGAGTGGATCGGAATTGGTCGTCGTCGTCGTCGTCGTTGCAAGTTTATCGAGTGGATTTAATGAACCACAAACACCGCCACCCACCATCTCCAAGGAGACGATGGGCGGCCAGATTGTTTACGATTTTGTTATAGGGAAGTGAGGTGAAGCTTGCTTTTGATACAAGCGTCTAATTGGGGGAGCTTAGAGGATGATTCGTTGTAATTAACCGGTGAAAATTGATCCATTAGTCGAAGACGAACGTCTCTGAAGGTCTGAATTACTTTTCAGTTCATTTCGATTGATGCAATGCAAACAACTAATGAGCTTCATTAGATCACATCAATTAGGTCTTATATAAGGATCATGAGCTTCTTAAATGATCATGTTCAGAACTTCAAATATTTACAAGGGAGGATTGTGTCAACCCAGTGCTGATAAAAATAATTTCTTCTGCACTCAACTTAGCTCAAAATGCAAACAAACTTAACACTCTGAACACGATGCCTCCCGTAAAATATGTAACAGAAAATTGGCAATGTTTGAAAAATCATTGCTTAGCAATTTACCGATCGGTTTTTAATCTATTGATACCAAATAAATCAATATATGTAGTATGTAGTTTCAAAAGGGGTCAATATGTTTGTAATCCGTCAGACATCCGTTAGACATTTTACCGGAGGCAACCTGTTTGGAGTGTTGACAGATAGACCAACCATAGAGGTAACTCTAAGACCAGAAGGTCCCGAAGAAAGGATCTCAACTTTTTGGCTCAGCTCTGGTACTATCTTCGGTCCCAAGCTAATCGATGCACCCCTCGAAACATAAGAAAATCCACGAACCCCTCATTTTATCTGTCAAACTTTCATAGCGAATCAAAACAAACATAGTGTAGTACTGGAATTTATACAAGAATGGGACACGTTAATCAATTTGCTTGGGACCAATAGGCTAGTCAAGTAGTGAGCCAATTTAAAATCGTTAGTTTCGTATTGATTGTTGGACCAACTACCTGCATGAATTTTTAATTTTGACATAACAACATTCTCTTGAACACGGCAACCTCTGAGTAGCGAAGTCAACATTTCAGTGCCAACATTTCAAAGGGGCGTAATTGATTTTGTAAACAATGGCTTTAGCTATCGATTTCTCGCAAATATAAGCCCATCTCTCCAAATTAACAATGCTAGTTGGTAAAGGAAACATTCCTCTACCTGCTGGTGTCATTAATCTTTATGAGTGAGCTTTTATTCACGAGAAATCGAAGGCTAAAGCCATTGTTTACAAATGCAATTACGCCCCTTTGAAATGTTGACACTGATTTGGCCTTTTTAATGCACCCCCAATATGTAGAAAGCGTCAGGCGAGCTCGAGAGGGAACGTCAACCAAACCGTTTGGTTACATCAGAATAAGAAACGCAAATTAAAGCATTTTTCTATTTCCATCAGTAAACCATGGCCCACTTAGACTCTGAACCATTTGGTGGATTTTTTTTAACTTTTGGTTAAAATTTGACAGATGGAAAGTTATTGATTAACCCTGCTATCCGAGCGTGGTTATTTCTGACAGACAAGAAGTTAAATTTTGACAACCTTGGCTCGAAAACCGTTCGATCGACAGTACGGGGACTTTCGAACATTGAAAATAAATTTCGAAATGTCACTTTTAACCACGAGTTAAATTTAACTAGGGAAATGGTTCACAGCCTTAGGCTGTGTTCCATTTGGTGAATTTTCACTTAAATTTGACAGATAGAAAATTTTCAAATAAACCTGCTATCCCAGCAGACTTATTTCTGACAGACAAGGAATCAACTTCGCTTTTTCGCAAATCGGCCGATCAACAGAGGGATTTTCGAACATCTTAATTTATTTTCGAAGTGTCAAATTTAAGTGAAAAATTTCCATTAGGAACACAGCCTTAGTAATGGAACAAACTGTTTACTACAGCGCTCCTAGTGGACGTTTTCGAAAGTTTTTGACGTCTATTTGTTGACAATAACAATAAAAATAACAGTGTATTTTTTTCAGTACATAAAACGCTCTTGTGTTGGAGACAGTCGTCCAACAATGCCAAGGCAGATGTTTTAGATACAGACTTGTTCCGTCTGACAATGTTTGTTACTCACTTGACTCGAGTGAACAGTCGAGCGACCTTTATGGAAGTCAAACTGCTCCTCGTACAATAAGTTATTTTCCTCGGCAGTTACCATGATTCGATGGTAGGCTGCTCTTTCGAACAGCTTGACTGATGGGTCGGTAGTTTGGAGGAGAGGATGGATCTTTCTCAGGTTTCCGGATAGGGATGACTTTCGCTGACTTCCAGCACGAGGGGAAGTAGCCAAGTCAGAGGCACTGATTAAAATTCAGCGTCAGATGGTTGACAAATCTTGAGCTCAGGTGTTTGAGTTCCAGATTCAGGATTTGGTCGAAACCTGGGGCCTTCACGTTTTTAGATGATTTGGTATAGCCCAACAGTTCATCAGTCGTAATCTCGGATTCCACAGATTCTGCAACTGCAATATCGAATGGACTAGGCATGTTCAGCCCGAGATTATGGGAGCTGACGAAGTGTTGACCTATAGCATCAGCCTTCTTTTTAGGGGTTATCAGATGGGCAACTAAATCATTGGGTTGATTCAACGGCACAAGTAATGGAATGGGTCTTGGCTTATTTTTAAGGATTGTGGTTAGCTTCCAGAAAGGGCATAGCACAATCTGGGAGAGAGCTCATCTCATTTCTGAGGGACACCATCCTGGCTTGGATAATTTTTGTAAGGCGGTTGCAATGGGTCTTCAAGGCAGGCTCGTTGGAGGCGCTCCTCCAAGGAACGCAGGCATCGGTCAACGTCTTCGGGGGCGTCCGGGTGTAGTCGACGGCGGCTGGAAGCGATCCCATTCAACACGATGGTAGTTGAAATCTGTTAGCCAAGAAGGCCACAGGGTGCGAGATGTTATGTCCCATGTTGCTGACGAAGATTTCGATGATCGCATGCCGTTTTGATTGATCCGACCGTTGACCCAAGCTTGGTGTTTTGCGTTCAGGTCGCCAGCGATGATGAAGTTTCCGCACCTCCGGGTGAGTTTGATAATGTCTTTCCGGAGGGCCACTGACGACCCGTCCCTGATGTTGGTTTGCTTGGGCAGTAGGCCGCAATGATGATGGTGATTGGGCCAAGTGATGCAGTGCTGTACATTTTCATATCATTCGATTGAAGATGAACCAATGCAACCATTGAATCAATTCTGTGTAAACAATTCTCACATAATCATAATTTGCCCCTTTCTCATTCGAAGCTCATTGTCACTGTCAATTGAGTCACTCACTATCATTTGATATACGACAATGGTCCCGAACAGACAAGTCGACCCGATGTCAGATCAATGTAAGGCTAATTTAAGGTCGATGTCGACCAAATGTCGTGTTGTTGTCGGGTCAAGTTTAGGTTTTTGTCGGGTCAATGTCGGGTCAACATAGGGTTGGGGTTTGGTAGAAGTCAGGTTGGTGTCGGGTTGGCTTAGCTTTTTCGCCGGAATGTCGACCAGAGCTCTGTTTATGTGTAGGTTAGACTCAATTGAATGATACATAGCGTTTCTCAAATGACTAAGCAACAGATATCACATATTCGAAGGAGGTCCCCTTTGATAGCGAATAGCTACTTTTCTCATTTTCATAAAAAAAATGTTCAAATGATTTTGAGAATTTACAGCACTGAAGTGATGTGCTCACCTCCACTTCGATAGCTTCGAAAGTTTTCAGCTGGATGTTTGGAAGCAGCTGGCAACTGATGTTCTGTCTTGCAGCGATGGCCACCCTCGCACCCTCGGAGCAGGTGCGGTCAAGTCTGACGAGCCAGAAATCGGGAAGGAATACGTTCAGTTTGGACTTCAAGTGTATCTCTGTGATGGTTGAAAATGTAGACCTCCTTGGTGTTGAGGAAATCGAGTAGCTCTCTATATATCTGCTTCACGGTCCATACTTGGTGACGAGTGGTAAGCTGTTCAGATCGAGTCTTGCAGGTGCGCTGGATGACGATCTCCTCTGAAACCAGCGTTACTACCCAAGTAACAAGTCAAGCTGAACAGTAAGAGCAGTAGCTGATTATTGGTTGATTTAAGGTTTTCAAAGCTGATTATCATTATGGCTGAATATTATCATTGTATCATTAGGCTGAATATATAGTTGATTAGTAGTGCATGAAGCGAATTGTATCCCCATAATCCAGTTAGCTAATCTAAAGATTGAACAAGCCTCATTTAAGCTTAACACAACTCAAGAAATCAGCAATGCGTTACACAAATTTTGGTAGCTTGATTTGTTAAATGTCGTCAGTGTCTGTGTCATTCGTTGCATTTCCGATATTTTAGTTTTTCTAAATTCACTGCCTACCTTTCTAATTCAAATTTGTGGCAGCAGTAGAGGCAAGGAGAGGAGATTTTTAGGAATAGCTCCAGGTAGATGTGGGCTGTGACGACGTCGGAAGTATTAACATTTGTATTTCTGTGTTTTGTCTGTTATATTGTACTGAAGTTTCAGACCGCATTCCAAAAATATTACTCAATTATGGCACTTAAATAGCATCCAAATGACCAACCTAATAAAAATAACCATAAAAGAGAGCTTAACGACGTGTTCGGGGTATCGTCCAAACCATTTGTGGAATAGTTTACCCATCCGGGATTCAGTTCGTTTATGGTATTT